ACATCGACCTGCATTAGTATCATGCCCAGCCCTGTGTCTGTGGCATCGGTGAACACTGTAAAGGGCTTGGCACTGTTCGGGTTTACCAGATTTACCAGGCCCTGGGTTAGAGCCTCCTTCAGTGCACAGAGAGCCCTCTGGCGCTGCTCGGTCCAGACCACCTTGTCTGACTTCTCCTTTGTACATAGCTCAGTGATGGGAGTAGCTAGGGAGCTAAAGTGGGGTACAAACCCCCAGTAGTACCCCGCCATCCTGATAAAGGCCTGGACCTGTTTCTTGGTCTGGAGAACGGGCCAATCTCTGATCCTCTTTACCAGCCCATTGGACTGAGGGTGATATGCAGAGGTCCAAGTGGGCCAGACCCCACATTTCTCCCACAAGCCCCAGAGCCGGGCTGACATGACATTGGACCCCTGGTCTGTAAGGACCTTGCTGGGGACCCCCTCTCTGCTGAAGATGGTCAGTCTGCCACGGTGTCTACCACAGAGCCCCCGCCCCTGGGTAGCGGGTGGCGAAATCCATCACCACCAGGATGTATTTTTTCCCCGACCAGGTCGCCTTGCTGAGGAGCCCCACTATGTCCAGAGCCACTTTCTGGAAAGGTTCCTCTGTGATGGTCAGGGGTCTCAAGGGGGCTTCACTCTTATCCCGTCCTTCCCCCCCTCTCTGGCCGGGGGCGCAGGACCTGCAGTGCTGCTGAGCTGCATCACAGACTCCGGCCAGTCACGGTTCTGCAGCAGCCGCTGCCTGGGGCTCTGGATCCCCTGGTGTCCCGAGAGAGGGACATCGTGGGCCAGGTATGATAGCCTGCGGCGATACTTCTGGGAGACCATCAGCTGCCTCCTGATCCCCCACAGTTTTACTTCTTCTGGAGGAGCCCATTCCCGGTACAGGAACCCCTTCTCCCACGGGAATCTGTCCCTGCAGCCTTCCCCACGGGGTTTGCAGTACTGTGGCCAGCAAGTTCCCTCAGCTCCTCCAAGGAGGGATCCTTCTGCAGCCCGGTCTGGAATTCATCTGCTGGGGAAGGGAGTGGGACCTGTTCCCTCTCGCGGGCTGGGCCTGGGGTCACAGCCCCACTGAGCCCTGTCCCTGGTCGCTCCCTCCCTGGTGTGGGATCACTTCCCAGCAGTGCCTCTGGACCAGGCAAACCTGGTTGGCAGCTGTCCTGCGCTGCCTGTGTCCCCCCGCAGCGGAGGTCTTGTCTCCCCCCTTGCTCAGCGCTGTCCTGGCTGTCCCAGTGGGGCCAGGCAGCGAGCTCTCTGTTCTCCTTACAGCATCAGAGCCAGCGTGAGCCGCCTCTCCGGTGTGCAGTGGGGCAGGGAACATCTCTTTGTCCCACCCAGCCCCAGAGGTCTGGTTACAGGCTGGCAGGTATCCTAAGCCTAGCAGCTCCTCCCTCCTCCTGCTGGGCCATAAGCAGGGTGAGGGGCTTCATCCCTAGGACCCTCACCCAGTTCACACAGCCCCTCAGCATCTGAGGCTGCACCACCCAGGGGCTGACAACAGTTCTCTCTGTCCCAAGGTCTCACCACCCCAGGAATGTCTCCCCATTGACCATCACCTTCCGCTCCCACTGTGGGGTCCGAGGGGCCTGAACCCAGGAGACTCCACACAGACATATAGGTTGGGGTCAGGAGTGGGAGCCTGTCCACCACCCCACCCATCTGGCTGATGGAGTCTATGGCCTTGCGACCCAGGAAGGGAGCTAGACACCGGGGTTTTTTCACAGGGTCCCCCTGGTTCAAATCTCCAGCCTGCTCAAGGCAGTGAGGTGGCATCCACATCCCCCCGCTCCTTAACCAGGGGCAGCAATTTAGTCTCGAGGTTCCCTGCAGAACTGGCACGCCGGGGTCTATCCCCACTCACCCCGGGGAGGACCCCTAGGCCTCTCCGCTCCACCACCGCCAGTTCATGCTGTTGCTGCTTCTGCAGCTCTTTCTTGGGCTCTCGCTGTCTCTCACAGTCCTCTTGCTCTCTCAGACTCAGCTCCAATCCCACCCATCTCCGATCCCCCGATCCCCATCGCGAAGACCCCCATCTGGTCGGGGACAGGAGTCTTGGGGATGCCTGGCTACTGCTCCAGCTGCTCTCAGATCCTCCCCCATCTGGGTCAGGAATCTTCTCCTTAGAGCGGTCATCATCCTCCAGCTGCACGATTAACTGTGCTTTGGAGAACTTTCCAATGCGCAGCCCTCTCTTTTTGCACAGGGTTACAATGTCCTTCTGTCAAGGAGTGTGAGGGAGTCCAGGCCCTGCACCCCTCTTCCTGGGATTCACTGAGACTCTCAGCCAGCCAGTAAAATGGAAGGTTTATTGGACAACAGGAACACAGTCCAAAACAGAGCTTGTGGGTACACCCAGGACCCCTCAGTCAAGTCCTTCTGGGGGAGCAGGGAGCTTAGACCCCAGCCCTGGGGTTCCCTGCGTTCCTCTACCCAGCCCCAAACTGAAACTAAACCCCCCCCCAGCAGGCTCTCTCCTACAGCCTGTCTTCACCTTCCTGGGCAGACGTGTTACCTCCCCCTCCCCCTCCTGGCTCAGGTTACAGCCTCTCAGGTCTCCCATCCCCAGGGCACATTCCCAGGTCAACACTCCCCCCTCCCTGCTGCCTCAGGTCACATCCTCACACCTTCTTAAGGAGACAGTGAGAGGCCATCACTCCACTGTTCCAAAGTTGTTGTGGACTCACAGGCCTGTGTGCTCTCAGCTCCCCACAATTTCCAGGGAGAACCGCTAGTGTGCCAGCCCTTCTCAAGGTCACCACCTCTTTGCCAGGGTCAAGCTGCAGACTCCTCCACCCCAGGACCGCTCGCTGCAATCCCCAGGTGGACCCTGTTACTGCAAAAGTTCTTCTCGCTGGTCATACACTCCCAGGGGTTAACCACCACCACCACCACCCCCGAAACCGCTCCTCTCTGAGCCTTCAGCATGCCTGGTCCTCATCAATCTCCCTTTGTTTTACTGCTCCCCAGTCACTTACTGCAGGAAGCGCCATTCATGGGGTGCAGTACATCCCACCTCTGCCACCAGTCGTCACAGAGACCGTGGGCGATGCTCTGGAACTGCTCCCTACGAAGCCAGGCATGACTCTGGTGAAGTCTCCTCTCTGTGAGCAGACTGTCTTCAGGGCAAGAAGCTCACACGGTTTCCACCTTCCTGGGTCTGACCTCGGAGCATTCAGCATCCTTTGCTCCTCCGTGCGCTTCCCACTGCGAGTCTGCTCAGGTGGGGTCCTGGGGAAGCCAGAGAGTCCTACCCCCCAACTTCGCAGTCAGACGTGACTCTCAGCCAGCCAGTAAAACAGAAGGTTTATTAGATGACAGGAACATGGTCTAACACAGAGCTTGTAGGTACAGAGAACAGGACTCCTCAACCGGGTCCATTTTGGGGAGCAGTGAGCCAGACAACTCCATCTGCACTTCACTCCATGTCCCCAGCCAGCCCCAACTGACTCCCCCTCCAGCCCCTCCTCCTCTGGGCTTTGTCCCTTTTCCGGGCCAGGAGGTCACCGGATTCCTTTGTTCTCCAACCCTTTAGCTCTCACCTTGCAGGGTGGAAGGGCCAGGCCATCAGTTGCCAGGAAACGGGGTGTTGGCCATTCTCTGTGTCCAGACCCCTGCACACACCTGCCCTCTAGGGCTCTGCAACGATCATACACCCTTATCTCACCACCTACATACTTAAGAACTGCCTAGGAGAAACTGAGGCACCCCCACAATATTCAGAGGAAACATTAAGAACAGTCCCACTTCGTCACAGCTTCCCACAGCGAGTCCATCCAGGTGGCGTGCTGGGGAAGCCAAAGGTTCCTGTCCCCCAACTTCGCAGTTAGACGTGACTCTCAGCCAGCCAGTAAAACAGAAGGTTTATTAGATGACAGGAACATGGTCTAAAACAGATCTTGTAGGTACAGAGAACAGGACCCCTCAACCGGGTCCATTTTGGGGGGCAGTGAGCCAGACAACCCCATCTGCACTTCACTCCATGTCCGCAGCCAGCCCCAACTGACTCCCCCTCCAGCCCCTCCTCCTCTGGGCTTTGTCCCTTTTCCGGGCCAGGAGGTCACCTGATTCCTTTGTTCTCCAGCCCTTTAGCTATCACCTTGCAGGGGGGAAGGGCCCAGGCCATCAGTTGCCAGAAGACAGAGTGTTGGCCATTTATGGCCCTTTGCTCTGCAACAATTACACCCCCTTATCCCACCACCTAGAGACTTAAGAAATGCATAGGGGAAACTGAGGCACCCCTACAGTGTTCAGAGGAAACATTAAGAACAGTCCCACTTCATCACATCGTGTTTCCATAACACCAGGGCAGAATGAACAAGGGGAGGAAGGGAAGGAGTCTCCCGAAGTGTCTGAGCAGCACCAGGGCCTTTAACCCCTGCACCACCTGCTCTTGCTGGGCATGGCGGTGCCCTGAGTCCACACCCTGGCGCCTGTACCAGACGTGCCAGACACGCCCCAGCAATCCTGCAGCCCCAGCCCCTCCACAGCCCCACAGCCCCCAGAGCTCTGGCCACAGTCAAGGCCATTGCCCACAGAATGACATCTGATGAGAGAATCCATCAGCACCGCACAGAGCCAGGAATGGGCAGCACCCAGCACCTTACCATCCTCCACAGCCACACAGCACCCAGCACCCTACCATCCCCCAGCGGCCATGCAGCACCCAGCACCTTACCATCCTTCACAGCCATACAGCACCCAGCACCCTACCATCCCCCAACAGCCATGCAGCACCCAGCACCCTACCATCCTCCACAGCCATGCAGCACCCAGCACCCTACCATCCCCCAACGGCCATGCAGCACCCAGAATGTTCCCAGCTCTAAGAGCTCTGCAGTCTTAGCTCTTGCTGTCTGGCTGGGAGCAGCCCCTGATGTGTTTGCTGAGCCCTGTGTTGGTGGCTGGCCAGGACTTCCCCTCCCTCACTGGGCTGCCCCAGACCACCCCAGTAGCACTGGCAGACTATTTGTTAATTAAATCAGAACAGCAAAATCAATAGCAGAAATCAAGTTTATTGGCTGTCTCTGCTCTGTGGGGCCTGGCTTAGGGCCTGAATGTGTACGAGCATGCTCAGGCCTGGCGAGCACTAGCCCCAATGGATAGCAAGCAGCCACTGGAGTGGAGAAGGCAGTGGGGCTGGCTAGGATGCAGGTGTCCTCACTGGAGGTCTCCTCCCTGCTACAGGCCGGAGCAGGGCAGCCGCAGGGTGTCAGGCTCTGGCTAGTCCAGCAGCTCCAGCTGGGTTGGAAAGGGGAGTGCAGATCTCAGATTGCTCCTGATGGATCATCTCCCGGGAGCTGGGGCTGGGGCGGGGCCCTTTGGCCTGACCCCATCGGCCCCACAGCATGGGTGCTGCAGTGAGCAGGCCACAGTGGTTCACAGCTGGGCATCCCCCTGGGGGAGGATGGTGGGCACTTCCACTGCACCCAAATATTTGTCTATCAGGGCTGGGCTGCCATGATTCTCCAGCATGAGAAGCCTTGGCTATAGAATTAATGCTGGGGAATCCCCACTGCTGTGACAGGAACCCCCACTTGGCTGTGATTCCCTGGGCCAACCATCACTCTTAGCTGTGCTGAGGGGGCTGGTGCTTTGCTCATTTTAAAGGGGTTGTGTCTCCCTCCCGCGGCAAGCAGAAGCTATGTGAACGCTATGGGCTGGGGCCTGGGATCCGCAGGCGCTTGCCAGGGATTCAGGGATGGGTCTCCTGGGGCCAGGCCTCCCTTGTTGTGGGTTCTCTGCCAGGGGGCTGCGTGCTGGGTAGGGCTGAAGCTGGTGCTGCACCAGGGGTGGGACGGGCAGTACCGAGAGAAGGCAGCTCTGCGCGGGGGAAGTGCCACGGGCCTGTGCCCTGAGCGGTAGCCGGCGCTGCTGCTGGGGAAAGCACTTCATGTATCAACGGGCTGTAGCGTGGAAGCTTGTGCCAGCGCGTTGCGCTCGGGAGTGACATGCGGGGAGCACGTCGGAGAGTGAGTGCTGGGGCGCTGTCCACAGGCGGCTAGGCGTCGGGGAAGAGCAGGAATCCGGAGAAGATGCTGTCAGCCCCTTCAATCCCCACCAGGGAATTCTTCTCGGTGGGCTCCAGCCACACCGACTCGCCTGCCTGCAGCCGCAGCACCACCCCCCCAGTGGTGACCTGGTAGGTGTTGTGCACATAGTCGCAGAAGGTCACCACCTTCTCCCCCTTGGTGCCCTGGCCCTTCTTGATGTTGATGCACAGGTTGCCCCGGGAGGTGACGTGGTAGGTGAAGTAGTAGAGGCCCGGGATCCGGCAGGTGAACCGCCCGTACCTGTTCTCGTAGTGCCCGTTCTCGTTGGTGATGATGCGGTCGAAGCGGATGGGCTGCTCCCGACGTGGCAGCATGCTAATGGTCCTGGCAGCTGAGAATGCAGATTTGAGGGTGGTCTTGAAGTCCCCAGATTCACCCATTGGCCCAGGAGGACCCATGGGGCCCGGAGAGCCCTTGGAGCCGACGGGGCCTTTGGGGCCAACTTTCCCGGGGTGTCCAGGGCTCCCCGGCTCTCCTTTCTCCCCCAGCTCCATTTCATCGTCCACCTGCCCCGGGGCACCTAGAGAACAGGAAAAGAAGAGTCAGGAGTGGAAGGCTCACAGGTTCTGTTCTCGTTCCTCATCTTATCACTAGCAGGTTCCTAGCTTCGCTGCTGAGCCCAGAGCGTGGCCTCGGATGTTCCACCAAAGCCATGCGACCAGCTCAGGGCTGGTGGACGAGGAAACCCTCCTCCAGGCTTTCTGTGCCGGAAAGTCCTCCACCCACGGCACAGGGACACTGGTGCTGGCTGAAATCCCCTGCCCCTCACACGGGGACACTGATGCCAGCTGAGACCCCCTCCCTCACACAGGGACACTGGTGCCAGCTGAGACCCCCCCACACGGGAACACTGGTTCCAGCTGAGACCCCCCCCACCGCTCACACGGGGACACTGGTGCCGGCTGAGACCCTCGCCCCTCACATGGGGACTCTGGTGCCAGCTGAGACCCCCCCCTCACACAGGGACACCGGTGCCCACTGAGACCCCCCCCCACACACAGGGACCTGCCCAGCATTTCCCGTAGTGGAGGTCTGCAGGATGGATTCCCAAATCCCACCAGGCAATTTGCTTCCCCACAAAGGGCCTGTGTGTCGGCCCTTTAGGTTGTGCCCCTGCGGGCTCCATTTTCACAGGCACTGCGAGTTCTTTCCCTGGGGCAGCCCCTAGAGCGCCCCTCGCAGGACATGTGCTGGCCAGGGCTGCCCCCGGGGTGGGTCTCTGGGTTGTTTAGCGCAGGCAGACCGCAGGCTGCAGAACCTGCCCCAGGGGGGGATGTGCTCAGGGCACGAGGCCGAGCTGCAGGTGCCAGGCTGCACTCGGTGAACTGAGCAAACGCCCTCCTTCGAATGGCCTGGCAGCAGGGGCAGCGGTGCCAGGATGAGGTGCTGGCTCGGCGCAGTCTGCACAAGGCTGTGTCTGCACTAGCTGTTTCTCCTGAAAACTTACCACCGTTGCGGCCACCATGGGCGATGCATGAACCGCCTGTTTGAGGAGGCTAGCCCCCTGCCCCACTCCTTCTGCCTGAGTCCACCCCCTTCCTGCCCACTGGAGCCAGAGGAGCCCCAGAGGAGCCCCAGCCGGCCCACCTGAGCTGACCCAAGCCCCAGCCTGCCTGAGCCGCCCCAAGTCCTGGCCTGAGTCACTCTGAGCCATGGGCCTCCGGCTGGCCTGAGCTGGCCAAGCCCTGGGCCACCAGCCTGCCTGTCCAAGCCCCTGTCCCGCTGGCCTGCCCGCCTGAGCCCCCGCCGGCTTTGGGGGAGAGGCAGAGCTAGGATGGGAAGAGGAGCAGCGTGGGTGGGGCTATGGGGGAAGAGCGGGACGCTGGAGCGGGGCCTCAGGCCAGTGCTCTGAAGGTGGCAGGCGAGTGGTGTGCCTCCAGAGGGAGGTGCCCCGCATCCTGTTTGGGGAGGCTTAGCCTCCCCAACCTATTATACCCACTGCCCATGGCTGCCACCCGTGTAGCCCTGATAGCAACGCCCTCACCCTCCTGCCCGAGGTGCAGCGCTCTGTCTGTCCCCCTCCTGTCTGCACTCGAAACTCCTCCCTTGCACCCCTCTGGATCAGGCCCCATTCCTGCTCCCCTGCAGCAGGGATCCCTTCTCGCAGACACCTCCCCTCTCCGCTTTCTCTCCAGCCAGGCCTACCTCTCCCCTGGTGCTCCCCTCTTGGCCAGGGGGCAAGGAGGGACATATTCCTCGTACCTGTGGCTGGCTGGTTCCTGCATTGGAAAAGTGCAAACCATTTGCTTCCAGCAATGCATCCTCCTGGCGGAGAGCAGCAAGGGCCGGGCTGTCTGGGCAGGCACTAACAGCTAACCCCAGGAATCATGCTTTACTCCGAAAGGGCCTTCAGGGAGCTGCTGTCATCCCGATAGCACCACTCTGGCCCAGAGCTCTGCCTGCTCCCAGCTCCCACCTCCTTCTCACCTCTCTCTCCCTTCGGGCCATCCACTCCATCTTTGCCATTGGAGCCTGGCTGTCCTGGTGCGCCCGGAATGCCCGGGATGGCGGCGTAGCCCTTGCAGCTATCGGCCCTGGCCAGGGGGACCACGGACAGGCAGAGCAGCATGGCCCACAGCATCATGTCGGCACCAGCGCTGGAGAGAGCAGAGGGACACAGCACAGCTCACAGGGCAGCACGGGGTGATGGGCTGGGCAGAGGGCTGGGCAGCAGGCTGCCAAGAACAGCGCAGCCCTGGGGCACCGTGCCATGGGGACATTCCCCCAGTACTGGGGGCAGCGGAGGAGCAAAGTCCACGACAGGAGCCGCTCCAAGGAAAAGCTACAGGCCCAAGTCCTCCCCCTGACACCCCGTTGTCTTTGATGGAGCTGCCCCTGGATGAATGGGGAGAGACTGGCCCCCGGACCGCACATCTCCTCCCCTCCCCAGATGAGAACAGCCTCAAGGCTCAGGCACCAGTGGCCCAGTCCCCAAGCTGCGGGGCAGCGCAGGGGAGAGAGAGTAGCAGCAAAACCTTCGGTGTTGGCAGAGCTTCTGTGGGAGGGACAGGGAGAGCAGCACGCATGGCTCTCACGTCGGCACCTCACCCAGCTCAGGTCAAATCCTGCCCCAGCTCCCACTGCTCTGAGATCCCGCCAGCTCCACCGGCTGCAATTCCCCATCCAGCCACAGAACCAAAACATTTGGGGCCGAACCCTGCTCTGATTTACACCACTGCAAACCTGGAGTGGCTCCATTAGCTTCAGTGGCGAGATTCTGGGTTTGCTCCAGAGTAACTGAGAGCAGGGTTACGTCCATAAGCCACCCTCCCAAACCATCTGTCCCCCAGGGCTTTGTCCTGCTGTGGGGCTTGTCCGCTGGAGCCTGTTCCCCAGGCTAATGGGCTGTCTCATCAGGCACTGAGCTGAACTGCCAGCATCAGTGCGCCAGTCTCGCCAGTTCTCCCAGACCGTCCTGTCCGAGCCATTTGTGACTGTGACTTGCCCCCTGGACACACCGGACAGGAATTAGTTCAGGGCAGGTCTCTGGCCTGTGTTATTCAGGTCAGACTAGATGATCACAGTGGTCCAAGCTGGCCTTGGAATCTCGGAATCTCCTGGTCCTACAGACCAAGAGCCCAGCACCGTATAAGCCAGACACAAAACACTGCAACATCAGGAGCTGCTTCTCGGCAAGGTTAGCTTGGCTGGGAACGCATGGCTGGGGCAGGGCCAGAACCCCTTGGGAGCTCAGTGCAGGGCTTGCTCCACAGCTCAGAGCCGAGTCTGCTCTCGAGCCCAGAGGGAGCCGGGTGCAGAGAGGGTTCTGGAGCCCTGGCAGCCCCTTAGGGACACTGCTCTGTCCAAGCGACCGGCTCGTTCGTGGCTATTAAGGAATTGGGCGCCTGTGGCACCGTGCGGGCTCGCTCTTACCTCGCAGCGTCCTGCAGCAGCGAGCAGGGATGAGGCCGGGTGCGTCTCAGTCCAGCTTGGCAGTGACCCTGCGCAGGGAAAGCAGAAGTTTGCGTGAGAAGACAAAGGCTGGGCAAGGAGAGGAACTGGCCACATCCCTTTTTTATTGTTGGCTCTGGCCCTTCTGCACACTGGCACTTTCACATCCCCCGCTGCCCCGCTCGGAGCTGACCACAGGCTCTTTCTGCAGGCTCAGCAGGACCCCCAGTGCCTGAGCCCTGCAGGGAGCCTGGGCGTGGCTGGGCCAGAGCCTCTGGCCATCAGCAGCTCTTGGCCCAAGCCCTAGAAAGTGCTGCTCAGTGGGTCTGTTCTTACTGGGGTACGTGCCCTCACCTGCCCTTATAGGAAACTCCCCAAAAGGGTCACAGGCTGCTAAGATCCAACTCTACCTGGCCCCCCTGACCCTGCTCTGAGTCCCCCCTCTGAAAACCCAGAGCAGCCAGGGCAGTCTCTGCGCTTACACCCTGGTGATAGAGAGCTGGTTTGGGGGCATTGTGGGAATGAGGGTCACTCGTGAGCACCCAGCCCTATGCCCTGTGGCTGCACACGAAGGTGTCACTAACTTCCTGGTGGCACTGTGCAGACAGAGCCCCCCCTCCCACGCCCTGGGTCAAAGAAAACACTCCAGTGGGTGTCCATGGGGTGAGGATCTGGCCCCACTCATTGGTGCTGCTGGGACCCACTCGCCTGGGCCAGACGAGACATGGGCTGGGAGACATGACGGTGCTGAGGTCCCAGGGCTGCACTTACCTGCTTCCAAGGGTCCATGTGAGTGTGAGGGCGCCAGAGCGGCTGTAATGTCCCCCGTGCCAGCCCACCAGCTCCCTTGGATCCCCGGTGCTGCCCGGCCTGCCTAGACTCACCCCTCCCACACATCTCCCGAGCCAGCCCTCGTGTTCCAGGGAGTCACCGCTGGGCCGACGCTGAGGCAGAGATGCAGCTCGCAGGGGTGCAAATGGAAGGGCCACCCCCCACTTTAACTCACCTCTGTCTGGCTTCTCAGTGTGGAAGTGCTGCAGGTTCGCCTCCACTGGGGAGTGTGTGTGCAAAGGTCAAAGGGGGCCAGCTGTGCCCATCACCTCTGCATCTGGCCCCTGACTCTGCGGGATGCTGTCCCCTGGACAGAGCGCTGGGCAGCCAGCACAGAGACACTCACCGCCTGGCAAAGCCTCATGCCGCAGTCGAGAGCGATTCCATCCCATCGCTAAGAACCGCCCTCCCTCCCTCCCGGCGTTTCTCAGCCTCGGGGCATGCGGCTAATGGAGCAGGAGCCCGGCTGGGCTGGGGGTCACAGACCATTGAGGGGCTGCCATGTGCTGTGGGGAGGAAAGGAACCCGGATTCCCTGTCCCTTGGGACTCTAGCCGCCACATCTGGCTGCCCCTTTCTGTTAGGAGTTGGCTCTCTAAGATCACCCCTGCATGAAAGGCGAGCCGGAGGGCTTGTGGGGCCCTGTCCATGCCTGGAGTCACGCCTCCTCCAGCTGCACGCGGCCTGGACTATCCCAGAGAACCCCAGTCAGAGCAGGCCTGGATCTAGGTAGCACCAGGCACATTTCTTAAAATCGATTCCGCTTGTCCTTGCTCCCTGCCGAGCCTCTGCCCCGTGGGCCACACTCAGCCCTGCTCCAGGCACATGCACTCCCCAGCCTCCTGGGGCTGCCCCGGCTCACGCCAGGCTGGGATTTGGCCTGGGGTGTCCACACAGTGGGGCCTGATCCTGCATTCCCCAGTGACTGTGATGGCCCTTCCAGCGCTCAGTGTCACGTAGGGCCAGGGGTGTGGTTCAGGCTCCCCTGCCCTAGGGGGAGCTCTCGGTCAAGCGGATTTCAAGTTGAAAGGGCTCCTTGGAAGCTCCCTGCTCTGCAGATATTTGGCTTGATTCATTAGCAGAGTTTGTAAGTGCTTTGAACCAGCGAGTGGCACATGCACGCCCCTGCAGATCCCCGGGGAGGTGCTATTGCGGGTGTCAGGAGGGAATGCTCAGGTGTCCATTCTTCTGTGAACTCAAACCTGCCTGGAGTTCCTGAGCCAGGCTTGGGGCAGGCACTAGCCATTCGGACAAGCAGCTCCTGGTTATAAACACCACTGGAGCCCTGTGTTGTAACCTGGGGGAGTTTTTGCCTCCTCATCCAGAGAACTGAGAAGTGCTGGGCCACAATTGTCACTACAGAGACTGCGGAAAGATGGGCTCGGCTACAGAAGGCCCTGGCTAGCTTAGGCCTCTGAGGGTGTGTCTACACTGCAATTAGACACCCACGGCTTGGGCTCACAGGGCTTGGGGCAAGGGGCTGTTAATTGCACTTTAGACATTTGGGCTCGGGCTGGAGCATGGGCTCTGGGACCCTGTGAGATGGGGGCGAGTGGTGGGGTCCCAAACATCTTCATCACAGTTAAACAGCCTCTTAGCCAGAGCCCTGCAAGCCCGAGTCAGCTGGCACGGGCCGGCTGCAGGTACCTAACTGCAGTGTAGACAGACCCTGAGTGACCCATGCTCAGGGTCCAGCTGCCCGGCTGAGCTGCACTGGACAGATGGGGAGACTGGTGCCCAGAGATGTGCGGTGACTATCTCCAGAGCCCAGGTCTCCAGACTCCCAGGCGCTTCCTCTAGCACTCTCCAGAGTCTAGCATGAGCTGAGAAGGCGCGGTGCTGTCCTGGGCCCTGGCATGGCCTCAGGGGGCGGTGGGGATCAGCCCCTTGTGTCTGTGCGTCAAAGGGAGCTTTGGAGCTTTACAGACCCGTTCCTAGAATCTCAGGATGCCCCCTGAGGCTCTGTGGCAGCTCCCAGCTTCCTCTGACATTCAGTGCCTCTGAGCTGGCCTCAGAGAGGCCCCAAGGATCCTAAGCTCGTCTGACAATCCCTGTGTCCATGGTGGGAACGGAACAGTTGCACTTTATGACGATGGCTGGGCAGGGTGCTGGGGGGCCCAGCAGCTTCATGAAGCAGCTTGGAAGCCTTGAGGTGAGGCACCAAGACCCAGGACATCGATGTGGGGCCAATCTACAAGGCTGGGAGGGAGGAATGGGACACAGGCATTCTCAGGCCATTTCTGTTTGGATGAGGCCTGGCTGTGTGCTGTGCCCTTGGAGCCTCTGGGCGCCGGGGCCAGGGTGTGCCAGGCGCCAAGGCCAGGGGCATGGTGGCGCTGTGTGTGTTTGCCAGGGAGCTGGGCTAGGGGCTGGGCCTGGGGCAAGGCCAATTCAGGATGCATTTGGCCCTAGGGTTGTGACTCACTTGCACCCTTGTGTCAACAGAGAGAGAATCCATCCGGGGTGGGGGTGGTGGCAGGCACTGTTCCTCAGGCCCCATGGGGAAGGGCAGCTTAACTTGCAGTCAGAGCCGGACTTGTACCCAGAGGCCATCTAGAGAAGGGGCTGAACCAGCTCATTGCCTGGCCACAGCCTCTGCCTGGGAGGGCTGAGACAACTGGGAGGGAGATGGAACCCGGGCCTGTGTGTAGGGATGGGAAACAGGCCCCTTCCTCCCCCCTCACTCCATGGGGCAGAGGGAGCTCAGCGCTGCCCTGCTCTGAAACAAACTCCCCTTTCCCAACTGCGCCCAGTCGCCCACCAACAGGAGCGCACACCCCACACGGGCAATGGAGGCCTGGCTGGGCATTGGTGGCGTTCGATGTCTAGCTCCTGTAACCAGTGCTATAGAAATAGGTCACGCACGCGCGCACACACACACACACACACACACACACACACAGAGGTTTCTGATATGCTGCGTGGTGAGGGTAGAACATGAGACACCAGGCCCCGTGCCACAGAGTGGGGATTTATTGACGTTTTCGACAGAAGCTCATGGCCAAGTTCCCTTTCCAAACTTTCTGGGGCGAACCCATCCCTGGTGTGACTCGCTGGGGGCAGCGGGGAGACCCCAGGGCTAGGAGTCTCTGGGTGTGAGCAGCGTGAAGCAGCGAGGGCTAGTTAATGCAGAGCGTGCAGCAGCTAGACCCTGTACTGTGTAGAGAGCGCAGAGCGGCTGGGGAGAGCGGGGACAGTGGGGCCACCGTGGTTCTCGCTAAGCAGGGATGCAGCCAGACAACCCTCTTCCCTTACACTTGGTGACTCTGTCTTGAAAACACATGTGAAAACCTGCTCGGCCCTGGTTAGTTTTTGGTTGGAGTCTGACTGCTCTGGGTGGCTACCGGGGCCCAACAGGGACAGGACTGCAGCCAACAGGTCCGGCCCCAGCCCAGCCAAGCTGACGCAAGCAGAAGACCTGTGCAGAGAGCCCCGGGTGTGCCGTTCCCTTGTGCCCCACGGTGAGGCGCTGCGATGCAGGGAGAGCGCCAGCGTGCACGTTAGAGGGCAGAGAGAGGCTGGGATCAGCCGGCGCGTGCCAGAGCTGGCCCGGCCCGCCTAGTCTGGGAAGACCAGGAAGCCGGAAAAGACGCTGTCAGAGCCAGCGATGCCCACCATGCCATTGTAATCGTTGACTGCCAGCCAGAGCTGGTGCCCGGTGTCCATGCGCAGCAGCAGGCCTCCGGAGCTGACCTGCTTGCTGTTGGACATGTGGTCGCAGAAGCTGGCCACCTTCTGCCGGTTCTTGTACATGTTGACACAGAGGTTGGCGATCTGGGAGGTGTGGAAGACGAAGTAGTAGAGGCCGGGCACGCGGCACGTGAACTTGCCCGAGGTGGTGTTGTAGTCCTGGGTGGGGTTGGTGATGGCGTGGTTGAACACCACCGGGGCGTTCTTGTCTGGGTGCTGCCCGGTCTGTCTCACTACTGAGAAGGCTGACTGGTGCTTCTGCTTGTAATTGCCAGCCATGCCGGGCCCTCCAGGCTGGCCTTGCTCACCCGGCTCTCCCCGGATGCCAGAGGGACCCATGGGACCAGTTTTTCCTTGCAGGCCAGGGATGCCAGGTTCTCCTTTCTTCCCCTTGGGCCCTCGGGTTCCAGGAATGGCCGGGATGCCTGTGGGGTTCCAGGGAGTGTCCGTCAGTGTGGATCCAGTGGCTCCGTGCATTGGGAAGGGACGGCTGGCGGCTCCTCCCTGCCCCCCCTGCCCTGGTGGCTGAGCGGCCGTGTTCCCAGCCTACCCTGGCTGTGTGGGCAAGTCCTCTCCCCTCCGTTCCGTGCCTGCAAAGGGTTGGTATCCCTGAGCCAGCCCCCAGGACTCTGAAGCTGAGCAGGCAACTGTGCCAGTGTCTGAACTCCTGCAGGAAAGGCGCCGGAGAAGGGGAGCTGATTCCCTGCATTGGGGTCAGGCTGTGGGGCCATGTCCTGTCCTCTCCCTCTGTGCTTTCCCACCTGTGCACCCCAGGACAGAGCTGGCACTAATCCTCTATCTTCCGGGCACTATGGGCCGCGGGGAGCCCTCTGGTGACACCTCTCCAATGCCCACTCCCTTGACAAGCTTCTGTTAGAGGGCACCTACCTGGTTCGCCTTTGACTCCTTTCAGCCCATCTCTGCCATCCTTGCCAGGCATGCCAGGTGTGCCAGGCAGCCCAGGGGTACCATAGCAGCTGTGGGAAGCGTTGCCTGTCACGGTGGTCTCCAGCGCCAGGAGGAGAAGGGCTAGGCCCAGGCCCACTGGTTCCCAGACGTTCTTGACTATCATTGTCCTACCACGAGTGGAAATGTGGAGAGTGTTGAGAGTCCCTGTCCTGTCGCTGTGGGCACAGCGGAGGCCCCTTGCTGCCAGGCTGGGTGTAGCATCTCCACCCAGTGACAGACCGCAGGTTACTCTGACCCTCGCTCATACCAGGACCCACCCTCCCTCGGCTCGCCATCCCCACCCGCTCCCGCCCCCTGGGCACAGCCTGTCCCCTCGGCAGCCTGCATGGGTCCGGAACGCTGCCTGATGGGCTTTGCCTGCCTGAGCCCAGAGCCCAGCCAGAAAGTCAGGGCAGCGTCTCCCTCCCCACCCTCATGGGCAGCCTCTCTCCTTTCCGGCAGCCCTTCCCGCTCCCGGCTCTGAGCATAGGTCAGGAATGGCCCCTGCTGTGGGTGCATGGACAGAGAGGCTTGAGCTGCCTGGCCCTGGTTTGCCTGTCACTGGTGCTAGCTGTGGCCCACAGCACAGCTGGGTTGCTGGAGAAAGGTCCATTCTGGGGTTCCCTGGTGCTGGCACAGGGATAGCCCGGTTCCCAGGGCATTGTCCTATTTCCAGGATCCCTGGTGCTGCGCTGCTCGGGGGGGCAGCTCTGCCTTTCCGCAATCTGTCCCTGCACTGGACAGTGCATTGCCCAGCTTGGCTGCCCCACACCAGTGCACCTGCTGGCCCATGCCTCTGCCCTCCGGCCTTGCAGGGGCTCTTAGACCCAGAAGTCCTGCAGAGAGTTAGTGAAAACCCTTATGCAGATTGACCTACCAGTGGCCATAAGTACGGCCACTCCCAGGAGCAGGCTACTGGGGTATCCCCGCTGTGAGCCCACCAGCCAGCCCTTCCAGAGCCACACGTCAGCTCCTATGGCCATGGCAATGCCTGCCACCGTGGCCACAGCACAGTGACACAGGCCTAGCCGCTTCACCAATGTCCTGCGGCTGCCCCCCGCCAGCCCCTTACCTCTCTGGGGCAGGGCGCTGGCTCCTGCGCTCTCTGGAGGGCTCTGCTGTGGTGGGGTTGCTGGCTGGCTTGTCAGAGCTCTGGCTGCAACACCAGCCAGGAGGAAGTTGGTGGCTGAAGGAGTCCAGGACAGGCCTCTTGGAAAGACCAGCCCCCTCGCTGGGGCCCTGGCCAAGTTTCACATCCCTGTCCTGGACATTTCTTCTGAGCAAGCGTTTTCCACAGTGCCGGGCAGCACTGAATGCCGCGCCAGTGCTCCCCACCTCGTCAGGGGCCTGGCCGCCAAGGGGCAGGGCAGGAAGGACCAGACCGGGGGTGCCAGGGTCAGCAGCAGGACCAGGGGCAGTGTGCAGTGCTCACGGCTGATCCAGAGGCAGATGCGCACCTCCATCAGGGCACTGCCCCTCCGCTCACCTTCCCGCTTTCTTCCCCTCCCCTGGGACTGAAGTGTAGGAGGGCAGAGGGCCATGCTGGGGGTGCCCCCACAGTGGCACAACCTCAGCCCAGTGCCCAGGGCACCTGCTCAGAACCCTGTGACCTCCGACACTCGCCCATCGGTCGGGGGATGAGGGTTAGTGCTGAGTCTGTGTCATCCCCATCTCCTGGCACGTGTCACGGCCCGCTCCCAGCCTCGCACTGGGCACCCTGGCCAGCCCAGCCCTCCGCTCAGCCCCCTGGGTGCCAGCGAAAACGACTGAATTGGTGGGGGGTCGCGGTCAATACCCATATAACTCCTGCTTCCTTTTACTGAAGAATGTTTTTGGATCAGTGAAGGGCTCGTGGCACACACCGGGAATCTGGGAATCAGCCCCCAGGGTCGGGTCCTGGTGCCGGCATGGCACATACCTGGGTATCAGCCCCTGGGGAGGGCTCCTGGCACCGTGGCCCATACCCAGGTATCACCCCTCTGGGCAGTGCCCCAGGGCCCATGTGTTGGCTCACTAGCTGCATCAGCAAAAGTCTTTTTCGAGGTCGAGCCATTCACCTGTCTGTCCAGCATGTTCCAGGAGCGCCGGCCCCTGGACGAGGCACCGGTTCTGGTGAGGAGAGCACAGCGCCCACCAGTGTGAGTGAGCAGCTCTCTTTTCCCTATCCCTTCCTCTGTCACTGTGGGCAGGGTGTTAAGGGGCAGACGCAGCCCCCAGGAGGAATCCAAGCTGGCCCCCAGGAGTGTCCAGTGCGTGCTCCCTGAAGGACCAGCTCTGCCCTCTGCAAGGGGCACATGTCCTCTGCCTGCTCTGCTTGCTGTGTGTGTGGGGGAGGGTAATGCCCGGGGACCCTACCAGGGGGCAGTGCCCATTATGCCCGGCTCCCCTCCCCCTTTTCCCGCTAGGGCAGAGCTCTCCTTCCCACCAGCAATCCAGTGCCTGGGCATGCCACAGGACAGCCCACAGTGCAGGGGTCCTGGGACTGACGGCCTGCAGCCTGGCCCAAGCTGGGGGACCCCATTTCCCACATGGGAATGAGGCTGCTGGCCTCATTTTGATTTAGGAAGAAAAAAGTGTCACCCTCCCAGAGACTCTTCTCCCTTACCCATTGCTCCCTGTCACGCCCAGATGCCCAGATGCCCAGGGCCACAGAATCTGGACGCCCACTGGCCCTGGGGGGTCCCTCCTGCTCAGGATGGACTGCGGTGTGTGGCTGCTGCACCTTCTATGTAGCTGCAGCGTATTTGGGTCAGCCAGGCTGATCCCTTTTCCCGGGTGCAGGGTGGAAAGATGCCTGCCCAGGCATTGCTCTTAGTACTGACAGATCAGAAACACTCTGGCCTTGTTGGCTCCTTTAGGCTCCCCAGGGACATCATGGCTTGGAGCCTGAACTCGCTGGACAGCACTGGGATGGGGGAGCTGGAGCCAAAGGCAGGCTCTGCAAAGGCTGGTGAGTTCAAATCCTGAGGGGGTCTTTCCTGGGAGACGCCAGCCTGTTGTGCTCTGGGCCTGTGCTGTTCCTGGCTCCGGGGGGGCTGCCATGGAAGCAGCAGCCTGGGAAAGGGCCCGGGACACTGACGGTTTGCAGGACGATGTGAACGAGAAAGAAAACCAAGGCACTGGATGGGAATGAGCGAGGGAAAGAAAGGGTTTATTCGTCTGTGCTGATTGGAAGGGTGTGAAAGCCAGGGGTGGCCTGCAGCCAGCTCCGGATTTGCAATGGTTAGTACAGTGCAAGCCACAACCAACAGCGATTTTCTATCAGGGAATAAAGGGGCCACAGCGGGGGAATGACACCGGTGACAACTGATCTCCTTCGGCAGGGAGATGAGAACCAGCATGGCAGGAAGATCTGAGCCTCCGCTCCCTGGGACTGGGGCACTGTCTGGGACTGTGCTGCTCGGACAGAGCACCGAATGTGACCACTCTCCTTGGCCTGGGGCACACAGTCCATGCTGAATGGCAGCGCCTGGCCGGGAAGGGGGGGACCCTGACTGGAGTGGGAGCTGTGGCTCTTTAGGCAGTGCGCCGGCTGTGGGCGACGGACTGGACCTGACTGGAAGGCGAGATGATACTTCCCAGGGCGTTAGCTGGGGTTCCAGTCCAGGCACAGAGCAGCCAGCAGCTGAGCAAACCCAGCCTATCTACCACCCCTATCCCCCCACGCCACATCCTGGTCCCCCGGGCAGCTCTCTCAAGGCCGCACGTTACAGGGATGCAGGCCAGGGCAGAGGGGTGCACAGCAGGACAGGGCCACTGGCAGGCTTTGGCCCTTTGCAGACAGATCTTGTCTAAGGCCTGGGCTGCGGGCTGTGGTATCATGGCCATGGGGCCAGAGGAAGGAGCCCACCCTTGTCTGAGGAGCCTCACACTTGGCTGCTGGGAAGGAGGCCCCTGCTGTGAGTGACCCGGGCAGTCCAGATGCCAGCCCATGGGGACAGGTGGGGATTCCCGGTCTGTTTGGCATGCTGGGGGTGCGCTCGTCCCACAATGCCCAGAACCAGCCTGCGATGGCACAGGCTTCCCAGGGCAGACACTTGGGGCCCGATCCTGGTCCCATCAAAGCCAAGGGGAGCTCTGCAGGAGCAGGGTCTGGGCCGTCACGCCTGGCCAGGGCCTATATCCCCTACACTCGTGCAACTGGACACAGAGTATTCTGATACAGGCCCCGGGGAGCTCAGCAGACGGCTCCCACCCCTGCAGGGCACACAGGGCGCCCCACGTGTGTTGGCGCAGCGCTCTCCCGAGTGGTGCGGGAGGAAAGGCTGGGTCTGCACACGTTGGCTGGCCTGCGGCCCTCCAGGACACCCCCCGGCCGGGCTCTCACAGGCCAGCGGGCGAAGCGGTGGGGGCTCGGAGCGTCAGGGGCCGCCTTGCTGTAGCGCTGGCTGAGGGGCGTCACTGGGTCTCAGGGAAGAGCAGGAAGCCGCTGAAGACACTGTTGGCCTCGGTGCCGTCGTACACCCTGTTGCCTTGGCGGGGGTCGCTCTCCAGCCAGACCCGGTCGTTCGGGGCCAGCCTGAGCACACCGCTGCCTGAGTTCACCTGCAGGACGCCGCGGCTGTTGCTGTCGCAGAAGCCCAACTTCTTTTCCCCATTGAGGGCGAGGCTGAGGCAGAGGTTCCCGCTGGAGATCACCTGGAAGGCAAAGTAGTAGACGCCGGGCACCCGGCAGGTGAACTGGCCCGTCTGGGTGCTGTAGGTGCTGTCCTGGTCAGTGATGAGATTGTCAAAGACCACCACGTTCCCGTGGGTCGGGGGGTTCTTCCTGGAGGCCGAGAAGGCGGGTCGGGGCTGGTCCTTGATATTGCCAGCCTTGCCTTTGGCTCCCTTCCTCCCCGGCTGCCCTGGGAGCCCGGGGGAACCATTTGGCCCCCTGTAGCCCTGGTTCCCAGGCATGCCGGGAGACCCAGGCTCCCCTTCATCACCTTTGGGTCCCTGGATCCCCGATCTCCTTCCCGGCAACCCTGGAAGAGAGGAACAGGCCGCGGCTGACGGAACCTGGGCCCAGGCATTGTTGGCTGATGCCAGCCACATCCCCCCATGACCAGCCACCCTCCAGCCAGAGGCCGGCTCCATCCCTTGTACTGAGCCAGCCTAGGCAAAAGCCTCCAGATCCCTCTCTGCCGCCGAGCCAGTCTGGGCCAGAGCCCGGCTCCATCCTCACCGCCGAGCCGGCCTGCACCAGCACCCGGCTCCCTCCCCTCTGCCGAGCCGGCCTGGGCCAGCGTCCAGCTCAGTCCCCTCTGCCGAGCTGGCCTGGGACAGCGCCCGGCTCCCTCCCCTCTGCCGAGCCGGCCTGGGCCAGAGCCCAGCTCCATCCTCACTGTTGAGCAGGCCTGGGCCAGCGCCCCGGCTCAGTCCCCTCCACCAAGCCAGCCAGGGCTGAGTTGGAACTGGTGCCGTAGAGACAATACCCAGCACCATACCCAGCCCTCCCCATGTTCTCAGCCCTGGGAGCTACAGCTCCCCTCTCCCACCTTACCTGGCTCGCCCCTGTCGCCTTTCTGCCCTGGCCTCCCATTGAGGCCCGGTACTCCCGGGTAGCCATCTTTGCCATTTAGTGCTCGACACACGTTCTCCTGAGGGACTGCCATGCCCAGGATCATGGCCAGGGTGCTGGCTGCCAGCCAGAATCTGCCAGCCATTCTGCCTCTGCAAGCACATGGGCCCCCTAGCGTGAGCCGTGGCTGGGGCATTCCCACAATTGCTCCCCGCTGCGGGAGTCAGCACCTGCAAGGGGCACAGTTCCAGCCAGGGACAACAGCCACCTCCCTACAGACCCCTGCCTGGACCGGGGAGAGTCCCCAACCCAACTACACACAGCCGCAGATAGGGAGCTTGCCACACCCACCCACCCACCCACGCACAGAGAGAGAGAGAGAGAGAGAGAGAGAGAGACAGGCACTGTACACTAGAGCTGGGTGAAATCCTAGCTGCACAAACCCCTCCAGCCTGTGGAGACTGTTGTCACTGCCCAGGATTTGCAATGGGCCCTCTTGGAAAATTGATATTTCAGTTTTGAATTTGTCTCCAGAACCATTCCGGAGATGGCCATTCTCCTTCACTAACCACACTGGTTATGGTCTGTGTGTGTGTGTGTGTGTGTGTGTGTGGGGGGGGGGGGGGGGGGCTGTCCTTACCTCCAGGGGCTGCCGTGCACGGGGCGGAGGCTGACTACCAGCGGGCAGGGACCTGGAAAGAGACCATCACAACTATGCACAGAGCAGCAGAACATGAGCCAAGGATCAAAAAACAGCTCAGTCCCCTTCTCTCCCTCCAAGGTACCTGTGATTCAAGGGGCAGTTCTAGAAGCATGGGGGGTGGGGGTGGGAGAGATAACCAATTAAAGGGGGGGGGTCTCTGCTCACTTGTACCTTAGAAACATGCGGCCTGTGACCTTTGCTGTCCCTGGTATTGTGCTTCTGGGGGCTCCAAGTGCATGCTGAGAGTGCACACAACCTAGCTGGAGGGACCAGGAATGGTCCTTTAACAAAGACATCCTTTCTCCAACCGGTGCATTAGGTATTGGGGTTTAATAGACAGGGTGAGATTCTGGCCTTTTTGGTGTCAGTGACCAAACCCCCATAGATTGCCATGGGCCCAGGCTTCCAACCAGTGTTTTAAACTGTCAGACTCTGATTCCTTTCCTCTCTCCACTGTTCATATGTCATTCACAATGTCATGTTCACCAGTCTTCCACCCCAGAGTCAGCACCGGGGCAGAGATGACCCATCCAGCCAGAATCAAACCTGGGTCAGAGCCAACACCCAGATTCAGAACTGGCTACATCCTGGCCATGAGCAGCATGGGGGTATGACCAGGGCACCCATCCAGAGCCAGGAGTGGGCTAGGTCTGATGCAGATACATGATGCAGAGCCCAAACTTCGCTCCCAGCCCCTAGCTGAGGCTGAGACCCTGACCTGACCTGCAGGGGACCCCCATCTGCAGGGCTGGGAGAAGGTGACCCCAAGCCAGGAACTGCTCTGACTATCAGGGAAGATGGGCCCAGAGAGACCAGCCCCTGGAGCAGGGAATGACCTGATGAGAGCTGACTGCAACTGGGCAGGGCTCAGAGATGCCGTGCAGCAGCAAGGCAAGGAAAGCGACTTGTCATTTCAGCACAGAGCCACCGCAGACTGGCTGCATCGCAGGGCAAGGGGAATGGGACGTGACCATCCCCCTGTACTGCTTGGCTGGGACCCCCTGCACACTGGCCTTCTGAGAGGGAGCGCAAGGCCTGAGGGGCTACCCCCTTCCCAGCTCCCTACAGTCATGCACCTGGGGAGGGGCTGGGAGCTCCTCGGCCCAGGACAGGCGAAGAGCGAGGTGGCAGAGAGCCAGTCCGAACATGGCGGGAAGGGGCTGAGAAAGAAAGGTTGCGGGATCCCGAACGCAGAGACCTGCCACTGGGGAACCAGAATGCAGCCTGCACGGGAGAAGTGCGTCTGGGCAGCGCAGAGAAGAGTCACTTACCTCTCCCAGAGGCTGGCCGAGGCTCTGTGAGCAGGGGGCTTCGTTTGGTCTCTGACCTTCCCCGAGAGGGAGAATGAGGCGGAGAGTGCGGGCTGGGGGGATTGCGGGTGGCTCTGTCCGATCAGGGTTGGAAGAAGCTGCTGAGTTTCACTTCCCCACCCATTTCCCCTTTTGGTGTTTACCCCCTGCCCCGTGCTGGGTCTCCCGGAACAATGAGAACGTCCTGGTCAGCAAAAGTGCTAACACTTTTAGACTCAAAACCACAGCAGATCTGGGCAGGCCGGACCCTGCTTCCTGCTCGGTGCCTCCCTGGCCCCCCAGCAGCCCCTACTGCAGGGCACCACTGCACACACTGAACAAAGCCCTAGTCCCTGGCCCCAGGAGCTGGCACTCAGAGGCTAAGGTTTGCGGGGAGCAGCTCAGTATAGGTGTGACACAGCACATGGAATGTGTGCAAGAGTGGGGCAGGACACCAGGACTTGCACTATATCTCACCAGAATTGTGAGGGAGTTCTGTGTGAAACCTGCACTTTGTACGGGGCAGGGTGTTCTCAAGGAGCAAACTCAATAAACTGGGATTTTAAACAAAGAAAATTGTAAAACTAATTCCATGGTGTTGCTATGAGCTGGCTGAAATATTGCATGGGTTGAGTTAAAACCTCATAGAGATTGATAGGTGTGAACTCACCCATCACTTAACATCACTGTCAGAATGAGTTTGCCAGATGCCTCCCACCTATAGAGGGCTTTCGTGAGTATTTTTCGTGGGGTGTGTGTGCGTGTGAGGGAAGGCAGGACACACAGAAATTGAGACCACACACACCAGAGAGAGAGAGCCAGGAAGCCAAGCAGGAGTCAGTGAGTACAGAGTGATGCTGGAAAAAGCTAGGAAAGGGCTTTTGGGTCTGGTGTTGGCTAAAGAGGCCTGGGGTCAGCCAAGAACTTGCCCCTTTTGATCTCAATTCCTCCTGCATTCGGACACACCGGACTTTGTACATTCCTTGTAGAGAAACAAGACTGCATCAAAGCAAATATCAGCCTGCACTGGTCTCCCCAAGGTAACATCCCCAGGGACCCAAACTAGCTGCTCTAGCCAAAAAGGGTCAACAACATACAACCATTGACCCCATGCCTCATCTGCCTAGTCCTGTTCCCATCCCCCCATCCCGTTCCCCATCATGCTTCCAGTCCTGTTCCCTTCCCCTCATCCCATTCCCCATTGTGCTCCCAGTCCTGTTCCCATCCCTCCGCCCCGTTCCCCATCATGCCCCCCACTCCTGTTCCCATCCCCCTGTCCCGTTCCCCATCACCCAGCCCCTCTTCCACTTGCTTTGTGATTTCTCAGCAGGAAAACATGCACTGCAGCAGCAGTTTCTTTGCCATGGCCCTCCCCATCCTGTTAGCTTGGCTCAGAGGGGCAGGTGGGGCTGGCCCAGCATGCTCCAGGCCCATCTCTCCTGGCTGTGTGCCCTTCTCCAACACGGGCCAGTGGCACCATCTGCCGAGCCCGCCTTTGCCACTCGAGTCGCTTTGAGCCACCTGCATTTGTTTCCCTCAGATGCTCTAGCCAGCAGCAGGCAGTGCTTGGCACCCTGTACCTTTGTTGACACCAGGTCCAAAAGAGCTGCCAGAAAGCATCCCCCTGGCACCGCAGTGCACCCCTGGGGCCAGGGCAAAGCCATTAGCAGCTCCAGGGTCTGCTACTGATGGGACACAGAAAACATCCAGTCGACGGCAATGAATGAAGGGAAAAACCCAGAGAGAAACGTGTGTCTGAGCAAAGCACCCAGAGCCAGACTGCAGGGAGCAGCCCGGAGGAGTAGCGACTGGCAAGCCAGCACAGCCGGCCGAGACTGCTGGGAAGCCACAAATGTGCAGGAACACCAGGCTTCTAGCTGACGTTCCAGAGCCCATCAGCAAGTCTCACACAATTTAGCTGCATGTGTGATTGCTGATGGCATGGGTAGCAGGAGAACAGGGAATCTGCCCTGCTTAGTGCTGAGGATGGGCATGCTCAGTGCATGTGTGAATTTAGAGAAACCTGGAAATGCAAATATCCTTGACCTGTAAGGGGGCCCAGCCAGGAACAGAAAAGGAGCTTGTGCCCTTATCTGCTTCTCTGTGAGTGCAAAGTTAGCCTGAAAAGTGACTCTCCTCCACTGTGCAGGCAGGCACATAGGTACACGGACACTTACACAGAATGCATGTACATACATACCTACATACACATACACACGCATGCAGATACACACACAAGCATACACATGTGCACATTAACACTCATACAGACACATGTGCACATTTCCTGTGTGTTTTTACATTGGTATTCCAAGTCCTGTCTTGGCTGCACTACATAGTCGTCAGAGCACTACTGTGATAGAGACAGCGTGGATCTGCATGTGCAAGAGGTGAGTTACTCACAGGGGAAGACCATTTTAGTCCAACAAGAGCTGAAAATGTGAGCTCTTCGCCAATCTCTTAGAATGCTTTGAAGGGGTCAGCAAACACGGACAGGGGTGATCCAGTGCACATAGTGTGCTTGGACTTTCAGAAAGCCTTCGACAAAGGCTCGTAAGCAGTCATGAGATTAGAGGGAAGGTCCTCTCCTCCATCAGTAACCGGTTAAAAGACAGGAGACAAAGGGTAGGAATAAATTGTCAGTTTTCAGCTTGGCGACAGGTAAAGTGTGGGGTCCCCCAGGATCTGTATGGGGACAGTGTTCATAATTGATCTGAAAAAAGGGATAAGGGATGAGATGGCAAAGTTTTAATAGATACAAAATTACTCAAGTTAGTTAAGTCCAAGCTGACTGCAAAGAGTTACAAAGGGATCTCACAAACCTGGGTGACCGGACAACAAAAAACAAAATGGCAGATGAAATTCAATGTAGATAAATGCAAAGTAATGCACGTTGGAAAACATCATCCCCGCTATACGGACAAAATGAAGGGGTCTAAATTAGCTGTTACCACTCGAGAAAGAGATTGTGGAGTCATCGCCTTAGCCCCTGCTTGACATGAGGTCCCGCCCTCTGCTCGCCTCTTCCCCCCGAGGCCCTGCCCCTGGCCAGGCCAGAAGCCAGAGCTGGGCCATGTTAATCATGGAACCATAGAATCATAGAATATCAGGGTTGGAAGGGACCTCAGCAGGTCAAGAGGTTAAGAGCCACCCAGTGGGCCTGGACCGCGGTGGGGAGTCCTGGACCCTCCACCTGCCCTGGGCAGTGCGCCCTGGGGGGAAGGGACATGGGCCAGGGGCTGATCTTGAGCCCCCCAACCCCCAGCCCAGGACAGGTGGAAGGGCTGGGGCTCCTCACAGCAGCTCAGGTTCCCTGGGCGGCTCTTACCACTGCCCAGCTCTGGCATCTGGCCTGAACAGGGGGCGGGGCCTCAGGGGAAAGAGGAGGAGCAGAGGGTGGGGCTCCAGAGGGGGCAGGACTCCTGCATGTGTCCCGTTTTTGCATTTTGAAAAGGTAGTCACCCTGCTTGCCATACACCCGGCACTGGGGCCCTCCAGAGCTTCAAACCTGGCCTGAGAATCTGACAGCGCTCACATTGTGACAGGGCACTCAGACACTCAGAGTGGCCTTGGGGTTAGACATGGGCCTGCCCCTGAAACTAAGGGCCCAAATCCCTTAGCCTCTCAGCATCAGGGGTGGCTTGTTGACTCACTGAGCAGCATGTGGGGTTGGGGCGAGTCTTTGGTTTGTGGTACTCAGGAAAGTTGGAAGATTCCTTCTCAGTCATCATTTATTTAGATTTAGTTGGGGTTGGTCCTGCTTTGAGCAGGGGGTTGGACTAGATAACTCCTGAGGTCCCTTCCAACCCTGATATTCTATGATTCTATGATTCTATCAGATCTTTCCTGTCCTGGGCATGGTGTATTTTAACTTTAGCTTAGTTACTGCTCTGCACACAAGATGTCCTATCTGCTGGTAGGGGGCTCTTGACTCATTGTCTTGAGCTCTAAGAAGAAGCCAAAGATTTGGAAGAGGCATAAGGGTGATTGGTGGCAACCTCACTTGCCACAGATACAGTTACCTGAGCAGAGCGAGATCAAGCATGCGTGACAGAGCGCTGTAGCCGTTAACAACGTATTTTCAAGGCATACTTCACACCTATCCTTCTGGCGCTTTTCTGTATTATGACTTACAGTTGGACCATGCCCAGGATACAATCTAGAACAATGAACAGCTGTGTCACCTCAACCCTCCAACCTGGGGTGCTCTTTACACTGCTGTGTGGGTTTGCTCACACCCAGCCTCCAGCATGTACGTCACTCCCAGTTGTATTGCCGGAGTGCTGCAGCCAGCCACTCTTGTCTTCCTCTGAAGGCTGACACCAGCATGCACCCAGTCCCAGACGTTCCCCAGAAATGTACGTCTTGTACTGCCCAGCTCTCTCCTGGACAACACAAGCTCATAGAAAGCCCGTCATTTTATTAATAGAAAATGATATGCACAAATCCTGTTATCCCAAATGGAGTTTCCCAAACACTTCAGTCCAAACACACTGGTTTAGATGAAACAATAAAATAAGTTTATTAACTACAGAAGGATGGCTTTTAAGTGAATACAAGTAATGCGGCTAAAAGTCAGAACTGGTCACAAGAAAAAGAAAAGTAAAATGGAACTAATGTAACAACCTAGAGTGAATTCAAAGCAAGGTCTCTCTCACCACAAGTTTCAGCAGTCCTACTGGCTAGACTTCTTTCAGTCAGGATCCATCCCCCAGTCCAATGCAACTTCCTTTGAACTTCAGGTGTCATAGACGCTGTGGGCAGAGAGAACGAAGCGATAAGTGCAGACAATTGATAAGGGAAACTAAATGTATCTGTGAAAAATATATGGCTGGTATGGTTAAGGACAGCAAGAAATAATTCTTTAAATATATCAGGAACAAATGAAACCCTAGTATAACATTTCTGTCAGGTGTTGTCTGGAGCAACAAGGGCCAGCTTCAATATTTTAGGGTGTGATCTGCATCTGCAATTCCCCCTTAGAATCCTCTCCTTTCTTCGAGAAGCATTGCCAGCTCAGGTTCAGGAAACAGAAAGTCTGTGTGGATGGGAACCCCATGCTGTTTCTTTGCTAAAATGTAGATTTTTCTCCCACACCATCTTTCCTGCCAAAGAATGGCCATTTAACAGGCGAT